TATAAGTATGAACCTCTATATCAGGCCTTCACAGTCTCACTTAGTTTTTCCACTCAAGACTGGTATTTGAGCCCTATCTCCACTTCTGGCTTTTTGCTGCTTAATTAGAGCTATGAATCTGTGGGCTTTCTGGCTTGGGCTAACTTCAAATCATGATCTTCAGTTCTCAGCCTCATGAGAGGCAAGGATTGCAGGTGTGAGCCATTAGTACATGGCAAGTAAAAGGTCGTAAATAACCATTGTCTATGCTTGAAGAGACCAAAGGAGTAGGAGAAAAAGGAAGTTGCATTCCATCACAGTAGCTCCAACTCAGGGAAAGGTCAGTGCAGATCTGGATTGGGGACTGGGCTTATATTGGGTTTACCAAGGAAATCAAGGAGTAAAAACCAGGCTGTAATTGCTGAGTGGCTAGGACCAGGTACTTTCAGTTAGGTCCAGAAAGGAATGTCGCAGCTGGAGCGAAGAGGACTTATCAGCCTGGCCTAGATTGGAATAACCTGCCTGCGGACAGGCATGTGGTCAAGCTTGTTCATGTGCACCTGCTTTCTTGCTTGACCCAAGCCTATTCATGTGCACCTGGTGTTTTGCTCAACCTTGGGGAGTAAGGCAGGAAACGATCCTTCATATTCCACCTTTAGATACATAAAAAGATTGGGCCGAGAGGGGAGAGGCAAATCCCTCACTCATTTCTTCCAAAATGAATCCATAAATTGAAAGCATTTCCAGCTAAAAGGGCAAAAGAATTCTAGACATATATGTCTAGGACAAGCAGAAGAGGTCAAAAGCTATGTACATATGACCATATAAGATGATGCTAAGTGAAATGAACCCCAAGATAGGGACACAAGAGGTTTTCTCTTTCTTGATGTTCTTTTAATGCACTTATAAGGTACTATGTGATTTTCTGTTTCTTTGTATGTTCTTCCCCCCATGGTGCAACCCCTGTTGTCACTGTATTTGATTCTGGTGTCCTGCATCTTATATATACATTTTTCTAATTGGGGAGGGGAAGGGAAATAATCAAATGTTGAAATAAAGATACAGGATGACATATTGTAATAATGAGATGTACCAGACACTATGTTGAAAATGAACTTTACAAGTTTGCATGGTGGGGGGAAGGAGTTGGGGAGGTGGGGAGGAAAGGGAGGGTAGGGGGAAAACAAAGGAGGGGGTAACAATGCTCCATAGGAAATGGACGCATTACCCTGCTCATGTAACTGTAACCCCCCTGTACAGTATCATTCGAATAAAAATATATATTTAAAAATAATTTTAAAAGAAGTTAAAAAAGAATTTTGAAACAAATGTTTCTGGATTCGTAAAAATACAATATCCATGAATGAGAAGGTTTTCTGCAAGTTACCAAATGTATTATGATAGTATGATGATTATGCTATTTAAGGTGAAAGAGGACTAGACCAGGAATAGGCAGATCAGTCAATGGGACGAGTGGAGACTATGAGGCACAGCTGGTTCCTGTACAAAAGAAGTGAGAACATGGGGAAAAGTGGCGTGTATAGAACTGGGATCCATTAGGGTAAGGTAGAGAGTGAAATCCTCACTTCCTGACATGCACCAAGCCAATTCTCAGAGAGATGAAAGAAAACCAAGAAAATCCTGAAAACATTCTAGAAGAAAATATAGAATATTTTTTACAGACTGTTGCAACTGAAAGTGTACATAAACAATGCTCAATGTCAGAAAAAATAGATAATAGTACAAACAAATTTACAATTGCTGTAGGATAACGTGAGCATACCACACAAATCACAAAGTGTTTGTTATATTTGTAGAAATCTATCAACCAGCTAAAATTGTTTTAAAATAAATATAAATAACATTTGCAGGGGCTGGGAAGGTGGCTCAGTGGTAGAGCGCTTGCCTTGCATGCATGAGGCCCTGGGTTCAATTCCTCAGCACCACATAAGCAGAAAAAAAA